GGAAGAATTAGAAGTAGAAGAAACTAGAACAGACTGGAAGAAATGGAATATTCCTCCAGTTAAAGAAAAAAATATTTATAGCACAACTTGGGTTCAGAAAACCTTTAGTGAAGAACACCAAGTTAAAACTGTTGAACAGGTTCATCCTCTCAGGAAAGAAGATGAGCTTTGTGAGCTCCTCACTAAGGAGACTCTTAAAATTCACAAGGCCAAAGGATTTAATTTTATCCACATAGGTCTTGTTCAAGTGGCCATTAAGCCTCTTATTACCCAAGGCAGGAATGCTGCTGCCTTACTAGCACTTAGAGATGCGAGGTTTCTTGATTGGGAACCAAGTGTCTTGGGAATCATGGAGACAGGACTCCACCGAGGTCCAGTCTACTTTAACTGCTTCCCAGACTTTACCCTTGACCTCCATTGTCCTAATACCCACATGGCACTAACTCTTGGTATCCGTCTCACAGGCGATATTACCAGGTTAGTACAAAATACTAGTTCCTTAGTACTTATTTACAGGATTTATTACAAGTGTATTCGTACCAATTTAAATATGAATTAGGAAATTTTTGTGAACAATATGGGTTACAGCCATTAGCTCATTCCCATAAGAAACACAGAAAATCTAAGTCACACAAGCCTTATTTTAGAAACAAATCCTATCAAAGACATTTTCCTCATCATAAAACTGCCAAGAGATCTAAACCAGAATCTTCCAGGAAACCTAGAAGAAAATTTAGATCTAAAAGGACAGACAACAAAGATAAAGGAAAAGTCCAAGATATTACATGCTTTAACTGTGGAAAATCAGGCCATATTAGTCCTGAATGCCCTATTAAAAAACAAGTCAAAAGATTAAATTTATCCCAAGATGATGAGGACAGAATCCTTGAAATCTTTAGGATAAATAATCTTGAGAATTCTGAAGAATCAGATAGTCCAGTAGATGCCTCAGACTCTTCAGATTATTATTCAGCTTCTGATCACCCTGATGCACCTAAAATTAAAATAGGATGCTCTTGTCAGAAACAAATTAGGGTAATCACAAAGCAAAATGAAGAACACATACTTATAGACTTGATCTCCAAGATAGAGGATCCAGATCTAAAAGATAAGTATGTCAAACAGCTTAGAAACCTTTTCAGTAAAAAGGATAATAAGCAACCTGTTATTGAAAAACAGTTAATAAGCCTTAACAAAACTATGGAAAGATTTAGTAAGGAAAAGAAAAAAGAAATCACCTTACAAGATCTCCAAAGTGAAGTTAATAAGCTTAAAATTGAGATAAAAGATTTAAAAGCTCAAGACAAGAAATTTGCTGAAGCTTTAACTCTTTTACAAACAGAAAAATATTCTGAAAAATCTCAAGATTCTGATCCAGAAGATCAGACTGCAGATTTTATTAATCCTTTTGATCATCAAGGCTACACACAGGGGATACCAGTAACCTCCTCCTATCAGACGGAAACTTCTGGTGTAACGAACCTGCCTTCATTCCAGGAAGGAGCCTCCATGGTGCTAATAAGTTCTCCATAAGCAAGACTATCGTACTCAATTATTCCTGTGTCTTTGCTAAGGGTTTCTCTTACCTTATGGGCAAAGAGACTGGGTAAACCATTAACAAATTTCTCTTTCCAGAATGCTTTCTGGCAGTCTGGTCTAAGCATGACACGAGAAACAAAAACATCTTTATACCACCTAAAGTCACTAAGTGTGGGACATTTTAGGTTGGTCAACTGGTCATGAATCCTAGCAGTAATGCTACTAGGAGTGCCAACAAAGTGTTTGATGATGGTGAATATAAGGGTATTGCAACCATCAGGTTTAGCTGTTCCAATCCTTTCATCAAAGATCGGAATGCCTTCATCATCTTTGAGAACAGCATTAATGATACTGTCTCGTTGTTCTTGGTTTAAATAATTATCCCACCAATTTCTAAGAACACCTGTGAATCCTGAAACAATTAGTTTGACAATCTCAGGTTCAGGGCTATCAAGATTGGTCATATAATTATTTAAAACCATGGATAGATGACTGACTTTATTAATGATTTCCTGTTCACTTAGACCATCTATGTTCCATTCATAGAGTCTGTTAGACTGAACAGAAAACTGGTTCAACACATTTTTCTCTTCATATTGAAGATCTGGTGGAGTAGGTCTGGAGTACCAGTTCTTTGTGGAGCTGGTAGGGACTCTAACCAGTGCATTGATTTTAGAATCAGGTTGGGTCATACTGTGATCCCTAAACTGATTTTCTAAGTTTTCTATTTCAGAGTCAGAATCAGTGGTGTCTTGTGGACTATCAGATCCTGAATTAGACTCTGAACTTTCTACAGTTTGGTTGATGACTGTTATCTGGGAAGTACTAGTAGATTCTTTCCTAGATAAGAGTGCATCAATCTGTTGAATTAGGTTTTTGTCTTTTAAACCTAAATTCTTTCTTTCTTCAGGTAGGTTGACTAATGGTCTTTCAACTGAAGATGGCTTTATTTCATCTATTTTATTTTCAATTTTATCCAACTGTTTACCTATGGTAATTAGGCTTTGGTTGGTGAAATTGACCTGTTCAACTATCTTCTTTTCAGATTCTAAGACTGGAATCTTAAAGGGAGAAGCTGTGACAGTTTTGTTAGCATATTTAAATTCAATAGTTTCTGCTGGTGGGTGACTAGCGGTTACCACGGCAGATTCTGTTTTCCAATTTTGCTGAGTTACTACTTTTACTTCTTTGTGGAAGTTGCTTAAATAGTTTTCAAAAGCAATTTCGGATTCTAATTTATACATTAATTTAACCCATTCTTTTTTAATGGTTTCCTGGGTTTTACAAGGTAAAGATTCAAAAGCTTTCCTAAGAGGTCTGTTCTCAGGGGTTTTGAAATTCTTTTTTAACTTGTAAATATCAGGCATAAAAAATTCTTTTTCCCTAGTGATAGTGTATAATTGATGGGCTTTGTCAGATCCTGCATTTCCATCAAAAGCACTAGCAGTGGGTGACAGAGAGGGAGATGGAGTAAAAACATCATTCTCTGTTTGTTTAAATTCTGTGTATCTATGTAGTCAAAAACGCAGAGTTAGAAAGAGGAGTCTATATATATATATATATATATATATTAGCAATCTTAAATCGAAACCAAAGTGCAGCCAAATCAACTATGTTAAGCTAAAAATTTGCCCAATTCTAAAAAGTTAATTAATGAATATGAACACTATTTATAAAAGAGTTTCTAATTAAGTTAAGATTCTCTATTATGATTCTGTTGGTGATCCCGAATCAAGTGTGACACCTTGTCGCGATTATTGCTTTAGTCCCCATTTAAAAAAAATAGTATTAAGACAATAGTATTAATCGCGATTTGTTTTCCTTTTTATCCTCAAACAATAGTATTAAGACATTTTTATTCTAGAAGATTAGCTGATGAGAAAAGGGTTTGGTTTTCAATAATAACCTTGAATAATTTACATAATATCATCAAGTAGTACTATTGGAACCTAAAATATTAACCTAATTTGCTGATTTAATGTGACAGTGACATAGTTTAATTGTGTTATTGTGACTATAGCTATTAGACTTATCTATTAGAATTTCATCACTCGACACATCATTATGTCATCAATCTATGTTAGTTTTTTAGATACCAAAAGCATTGCTCTTAATTAAACTTTTCATTTTTTCCTCTTCAATGACAATGGTGCATAGTATGAACTGGTTGAGCTAATGAAAAAAACCTTTAGACCACTAGAATAACTTTTCCTTAAGGACTTCCATCATTTCTTATTCAATGGTCCCTTGATTCCTTCTTCTATATAGTAACTTGATTCTCTATATGTTTTATGACTTTTTTAATTGTACAAAAGTGGGTTCTTGTTTCTTACATAGAAGGATAGGAAGTGGGTTTTTGTGGATTACAATGTTCTATTGTGCTAGTGTTGAATGTTTGTTTACTATATTTATGCATGTGTCGTGGGATATATTATGTTTTTTTTAAAATGTCAATGCATGAAGAATTAGTAATTAAATAAAATCTAAGATTTATCATCTTTGTTACTATCTACCAAAGTGTTATTCTAAACCTTTTCATATTTTCCAATTGAAATTACTATTATCTATTCAATGAGCAATGCTACATGATCTAATGTGGAGATTTTATTAGGGACTTAATTCATTACATCTATTGAATTAGTTGTAAATTCAAATATTAGATACAATTTACTTTTAATGTAATAGTTGTAATTGATTAGGTTCTCAAATTTGATAGAAATAATACTTTTCCTACTATATTATTTTATATTTTTGGGTTGTTGGTGAGCATATAATTTGAAGTATATGTAGAAAAGATTCATGTACCGTGTATTTGTGCACCAACTAGAAGATTATTTCTTTATATTTACATAGAGAAATAAAATTTGGAATGTATATTGATGACACATTCTATCAATAGGTTAGACTTTATCTCGAACTTCTTTTGTCGATTTGAAAATGAAATAAAATTTTAAAATCAAAATTATAATTCGCAATAATTCACGTGCAAAAATAGATATGCATTAATTAGTATATATAAAGTTGTCATTAGAAGAATAACTCTATAATCAAATGGAGTTACTACCTATTAAGGTAAAGCTATAACTTATCAAGTAAATGGAGCAAGGTTACAACACTAAGGTTAAGTTACCATAAGAAATAAACAAAATTCGAAATGTTTGGTATTAATCCTTCACAACCCTAAATTTGACACAATTAATAAATGTAGATAATAAATGGGCTAGATTGGTGTTAGATACTTGTAACAAATCAATTTTTTTTTATTTTTTCTGGGTATTTACACAAACATGATACATATAAGAAGGACAAGATTCAAAAATAATTACACAAAGATGATATGACAGAGCACGAATGGACACCCTATATAGGAATTCTGTGACCTAGACTACATCATGATAAATATCAACCAAACCCAGTAAAATGAATATTTCAAGCAGTCATGAAACACTCATGCAGGTGAACTCAAAAACAATTATTCCAATAGGAAGCATGACAAAATGAATCATCGAATCCCATGTATCAGCCACATGTACTGGTTACAATCCTTCAATCTTAGAATTATAGTACTAGTACCATACTTCTATAAGTTGGAACCCAAAATACAAGCAAAATGAAGTGCAAAATATAACTAAGCTGCCAAGTTTAGTTGTATGTGCTTGAGCAGAGCTAAATCCTTGTAAAAGTGACTCATCTGGGCCTTTACCATCTTCCACCAAAAAAGCCAAGTCCCCGACTTACATTTGTACTTCCAGACCACAATGCAAGAGCCAAACACCTGCTAATCCAACACAATCAAACTCGTGTAAACAATAATATCAGGTTCATCAATAGTTAACAACAACTCAGTCCAACAAATTTTTCAGCAATTTTTCCCTTTACAACTCGGACATTTTTAGAAGCTCAATTCATCAAAAGTATACCATTCAACAACAACTAGGCAGAATTTTCTCCGGTTCTCCCCTTCAATTTCATCAGCAATGCAACACCAATTTGTTGAGAAATTACTTCAATTTGTATGCCTGTTCTATTCTTGAGCAACACTTGATACTTCAATTCAAAAATTCCGCAATTTAATCAATTTAAGTTTTTTTTTTCTGCAGGTGTATCAATCTTTATTGAGCAATGCTACATGAACTTAAAATATAGACTTGATCAATAACTGTCATTGATTTTATTGTAGGTCCCAACATTTATTAAGGCCTACTACCTATTCAATGGATGTGATTGATCAAGTTTACATTTTGGACTCGTTTGGTTGCCGTATTAAAAATGGTTGGATTGGATAAAGTAACACAGTCTAATATAATACAGATGGATAAAATTAAAAATTAAATAGGATATTAGAATAATACGTAATTTTATCTAGTGTTTGATAATATACAACATAAACATTGAATAGTAGTTATTTAATACAATCGGTTACTTGGTTAGGAAATTATTTCTTCGTATTAATGTTGAATTAACAAAAATAACCTCAATCAGTGTTTGTTACATTGATGACAGCTTGATTTTATCAACTGTAGGGTTATAATAATAAATGTGGAGAATAATACGTTTAAATTGAATTATAATACCACTTCTCTTAGTGGTATTTAAATACTTTCATAATATAAATTTATCGTATAAACAATATACGATAAGTATACAATCAATATACGTTTTTGAAATTAGTACGTTACCAAATTTAATTACCAAACAAAATATTAGGACCAATGAAATAAAAAATAGTACAATCTAATATTTAATCCTCTCATAATACGTCTATCAAACGAGTCCTTTAAGTCCAAATAGCATTTCCCATCTTTATTCTACTCTCCTCTTTGGAAACTCCACAATTGAACAGCAAAACAATTGAACGGCAACATCAATTTGTTCAACAACAACAAATGGCGTGAGTGTGTGGATGAGTGACTGTGTGCAGATCGGTGGCATGTGTGAGTGAAACCGGGAGATAAATGGGTTGTCTTGTTTAGTTGTTAGGGGCATTTAGTCCCAGCATAAAACCGGGAATGGAAATGAATTTGCCCCACCCAAACCTTTAAGGAAAAAAAAAATTTGCCGGTCGATTCTCCCCAGTGGATGAATTTTCATTCAAGAATACACATTCCGACACCAAGGGGCAAACCAAACACCAGGGCAGCATCCGACCCAACCAAATAAAACCTATGAATTGAATATTGAGTTAAGAACTGCATATTCACACCCCATTGGAATTGGCTCCCCTCCAGTACAGAGAACAAGCATTTTCCCACGATGGTCCATAGATGCTAGTCACATTAAATACAACCCCCCATAAGGAACAAGATCTGGCCACATTGCACCAGGCTCTTAATCTTTAAACCCAATTCTTTAAGCAGACAATAATTGTTAGTAGCATTAAGACAACTTATGAACAACAGAATAACTCCAAAACCTACAACGAAAATAGTTGTTCCCATCAAACAATATAACAAATACACTTAAACACCAGAAACCAACACTTACCTTCTCATTATATTTGCAGTAAAACTCGAGGTAAAAAAGAAAAAATCATATTTGGTGCGAGACGAAATCTTTCACTCAAAAATTGGCCTAAAAGAAAACTTGACCGATGAAGAATATTCAAAGTTTCACCCTTTGATGAATCTCACTAAGAAAGGCTCAAAATTTCTACTTGAATTTTTTCTTGACTGAGAGAAACAAAGGTGTAGTCAATCCCAACTCTTGCTCTAGAAAAAAAAAAGGGCAAAAGGGAAAGCGATTTCAAGTTTCATATTTTATATATGGCATTTGAAACCAATGAACAACTTAGAGAAAGGGAGAGAGATCAGGCTGGTTTACGGTAATTTCATCCATCTAAACTTGGGGCAAATGCATTAATTTCTCCACTCAGTTCATCAAGCTTTAATTTTATGAGTAACATTGTCACCAATCTTACCATCACTATAGATAACTGACCCTAAATATAGAAAGTATTCACTCTTTGATGCCTCTTAATCTTCGAATTTTACTATATGTCGACCTGCTGTTCTCTTTGTATTAAATTTCCTTACCACATAGTCGTTTTGCTTTTACTCCAATTAAACCCATTTGATTCTAAAACCTCTCCGAAAACTTTAAATCTATTGTTGTTCATCAACCAATACTATGATGATGTCATGTGAATTGCTAGAAACACGTGAAGTGTACAAATAACCCACTGATGTGCCTTTGTTTTAATTTTGTACTTAATATTTGCTATTGAGTCAAAAATATTATTCATATCATAAATCCAAAAGATATTTTACAAATTCTTAACAAGCTCGCAACAATGAATGAAACAAGGATCATGAAAGTACAACTGCAATGAGTTATAGTCAATCACTTACCCATCTCTAATTTCCTACCTGAGTAAAAAAAAAAAATCCATCACAACATTTTTCTTTTTTAATTAGTTCAGAAGATCTCATTTTTTTTTTAGAACAATATTTTTCCAAGCAAGATAACAATCAAAACATAGGAGATAAAAACAAATTTCGTTTATTATAGTATGCACAAAATTATGTGCCTACTAAGATCACAATTGCTTATATCATGATAGAAGAACATAGAAATGTAAGAAAGTTAATACTAATAACTTAGATAGAGAAGAAAGGGTAATCAACAATGTGATCTCACCTTTTTTTCCTTTGTTATTGTTGCTGTCTCTCAGCCCCCTTGTCCACATTTGGTGAAACTAGGCTTTCAACATAGGTCATGTGTTCAAAACAAGCACCAGAGTTATGAACCTCAGGATACTCCACCGTATTATCCTTTGGATTGTACAGTCCTACTTCTCTCCTCATACTGAGCAAAAGTTTACCATCCTCTGAAATGCAAATTGGTGTATCATACTGGTTTCGCAACTTAGGAAACATCGAATATGACATGGTAGCTATTTTAGACCAAGAGTCGCTCTTTCCATATTCCTTCATCACCCATAGCTCTGCAAAATTTCCATATTGACGCAGTATACAAAGACATTCTCCTAAAACCCCTAACATCGAAGAAAATTCATCATTTACATAGTTGGGTTGTGCTATCGTCCTGGACATCTCCTTGGCTAAGTCGAGAGAAACAATGACCCAATCTGTTGATTGCATATCACTACCCCATGCCCAATGGAGTGCCCCACTAGCAAGCTTACCCCGAAAATCAACAGAAGTACCACCAGGAAATTGCTCGATCCTCTTCCAAGTATCAGTCCTTAAACTATAAACCTGGACTTCATTCTCATACGAGTCCCAATTACACCAATCTACAAAAATCCCCACCACTTTATAATCATCACTACTCTCATCATAACCAAATCCAAGCGCAATACTATCGATATTTTTCAATGTAACGCCATAATCAGTCAATTTCTTGGATTCCCTCGTAGATGGGTTCCACAAAAATATGCTTTCATAATTGACAGCAATACAAACTAATCCATTACAACAACCCACAAGCGAATACTCACTGATAGGACATTCCACATCAATAGCAGTGACAGAGGGTTCATACAACATAGATTGAAGAGAACAAGTTTTGAGACAATAACGATAGCAAGCAGAGATGAAAATGAGCCTATGCTTAGCATAATCTTTGTTTTTGCTTGATACATCTAGATGGGTTTTGGCGAATTGAGGGCTAGAAATTAAAGAACGCCATAATTTGGAAACGCACCTCAACTGTAACAGGGACTTTACGGGGAGTCTTGAGAGTATTTTCACAACGATTTCATGCGGAATGAATGGTTGTGGCTTTGAATCTTGGGCCATTTTGGTGGAATTTTTTGGTTCTCCCTAGGGTTTTATTGGCCTTTGTTGCCGTTCGAATATGTTGTTATCATTGCATTCATGGCCAGTATTCATAGCAAATCCGAATGGTGAACTAGTTTGGCCAATTAGGTCATATTATATTATTGCTATCATTGCATTCATAGCAAATCCTAATCAAAGTTGGTACTTTATTTTAATTAGTGGTAACAAGCCTTAAATTTCAAAATCAAGTTTCAATAGCATTCCTTTTTTATTTTTTTTAGATTATGTTAATAAATTAGGTATAAATAATATTTTAGATTAATTGTATTATTGGCCTTCTAAATTACTGACAGTTGTTATAAACTTATCACCAATACCTAAAATGGACAAAATAATAATTTGAATTTTTGTTAACCAAATTTCCCTCTCAATTTTGGTCAAAGGTCAACCTGAATTATATATTTTTAGTTAAAAGTTATCCAAATTTTGGTCAAGAGCTATCCAAATTATATTTTTGCCCATATTTATTTATCACATGACAAGTTTATAATCAAAATCTTTTATAGTTTAGATGTTGTATGCTTGAGTGATTGCATAAAAATATTTATATAATAATAGAGCTGAATTTGAATCTCAAAATTTAGCTTAAGTATTTCACGGATCAAATCAATTTTGAGCAAAGATGAGTTATATCCAAATGTCTATCTTATCTCCATTTTTTTTTCGTAGCTCAGATCCACTCAAAAAACCACCGAGTAGAGTGGTCAAATGGGATATCGGTCGAACTTCTCACCCCGAGATTTGAGGTTCAAGTCTTGTAGTCCACATTAGAGTTCGATAGTTGACCGCTATATTAGCCTAGTTAGGTTCATTCCTGAGAGGAGTAATGGGTACGACCAAGAGCCTCGTGATCCCACCAGTGAAGACTTATCGGAGTGTTCTATGGGCACTCTCCTTTGTCCCATCCTTTTTTTTTTTCAATAGCCAAAAAAAACAAAAAAACAAGATCCACTCAAAAATTTTGATTGATGGACGAATTTTGTTTTCCTGCTTAAGACACCTTCCATTTTTAATTACCCCAAATTAATGTTCTTCTGTTTCCACATTTCATTCACGACTCTCAAACTTTCATATCCACCCTTTTAGAGGCAAATCTCTTACCAAATCATACACATATCTTCCCCAAATTGTGCTTACTATAATTCATTCATTCTTTCTATGGTAACTAATTTATTTTCTTTAGTATTTGAATATTTGTCTTTTGGATTATACAATGACGATTTTTAAATACATTACCGATGAATTGGAGTGACACATTTGTTGTTAGCATTTCATGAAAGTTTTTTTTTTCATCTATGATTTCATCAAGTGAGTGAATGATTTTTTGTGTTATATAACTTTAATTTTTGGATTAATGCGAGTAATATAGAATTTTAGTTTCTTAATATAAAGAGAACGAGACATAATAGCTTGAGTTTAGGACTACTGAGTGTTTAGATAATGAGTAAATAAGTCTCACTTATTCTAACTTTTTAATTCAAGTAAAATATTTTCGAGTAATATTATTTAGACTTAAAAATTTGACCTAATTTACTCACATAATTATATGGTTTCATAGGAATCATTAGATAAATACTAAGTTCCAATGTTTGATGGCAGGGGCAGAGCCAGGATTTTGTCTCAGTGGGGACAAACTATTCATAGCTGATTGAAAAATAAATTTGTCTAATTAGATTCAAGTTTAAGAGTTCGTCATTAAGTTCGTAGCAGATGAGATAATGGACTACACATAATCAAGATATAATCCAAACTAGAATTTCAAGAAATCAATTAAGCAATTTAATCTTAGAGAAGAAAAATAGCACTACCCAAGAATCTCAGATAGCCAATCTAAAAATAGGCTTTAACAAAAATCCAAAATAGTTGAGTGGTGACCCAAGATGAAACAAAAAAAACCTACATAAGTCCATAAATTATACACCAAACAACCATTAATTCTATAAGAGTTAAATTAATTTTCTAATATAAAAAATCTGATTTTAGATTAGTGCTAATACTACTATCAAAAAATTTGGTTAATAGATTACCTCTCTTTAGCTTCAGCATAATCTTCTAAGATTTTCTTAAATTTAATTTGCACAATGATTGAATCTAATAGGTTGATTTGTTGATAAATATACCAAAAGAACTAACAAAGAAATTACATAATAGAAAGAAGAGGGGCTGGCGGCTAGACGCATGGATTGGACTTGAAATGTGGACGAAGAAGACGAAGGCTTACGAAAAAAAAGCAGGAGTGAAAAAGAGTTGTCAAAAGTTAGTTTTTAAGGGTTTAAAGTTATATTAATATACTCTATACTTTAAAAAAAATAAGAAAATTTCTGTGAGGTAAATTTAAAAAATTCTTGAAATTTTTAAAATTACACTTATATTCTAAAATTTTTTAAAATTTCAATGGGGGCAATTACCAAGCGTGAAAAATAAGAAGAAGCTTCCAACAATTAGATTTTAAGGGTTATAAATTATATTAATATATTCTATACTTCATGAAAATTTCAGTGAGAGCAACTTTAAGAAATTTTTGAAATTTTCAAAATTAAACCTAAATTCCAAATTTTTTTAAAATTTTAGTGGGGGCAGCTGCCACCATTGCCCCGATACTAAATCCGCCACTGTTTGATGAGGTCTACAATGAATCCAAAGGTTATAGTGAATTAGATTAGCAAATTAAGTTAATAAATTATCTCTAATAGTGGTAGAGCATTTTAGAGAGGTTTATATTATGAAAAATCGTGGCGTGAGTAATTTTTTTAAAAAAATTAAAATTTGTTTTATTTACTATTTTGATTATACAAATTGTGTATGCAGATTAATATTATTCACGGGTTGTGTGTTTAGAGTTTGTTTTATCATTTTTTTTAATAGTGGGTTTTTATTAATTGGTACTGTAAGGGGTAGAACCCTCTACTAAGGATTTCGGTTTGACCTGGGTTAAACCACGCGGGCGACCCCCCAGTAGCCTTTACCTCTCTTCGCCAATAGGACCCTTTCCTAAGACAATCCCACATTGGAAGAGAGTCGTCTCTCCCCTGCCATATAAGTGAACACTTCCTATGGAGGAGGTACCCACTAGGCACCTCCTGATCGCTAGTGGGTACCTCCTCCATAGGAAGTGTTCACTTATATGGTAGGGGGGAGACGACTCTCTTCCGATGTGGGATTGCCTTAGGAAAGGGTCCTATTGGCAAAGAGAGGTAAAGACTACTGTATTGCCTTAGAAAATGGTGCAGGGCAGTCAAAATCCTTTCGAAGGGAGGGAATCCTGTCCACCCAAAGGCGCCTTTCTGTAAGGGGTAGAACCTTCTACTAAGGATTTCGGCTTGACCTGGGTTAACCCACACGGGCGACCCCCCAGTAGTCTTTACCTCTCTTCACCAATAGGACCCTTTCCTAAGACAATCCTACATCGGAAGAGAGTCGTCTCCCCCCCTGCCATATAAGTGAACACTTCCTATGGAGGAGGTACCCACTAGCGACCTGAGGTGCCTAGTGGGTACCTCCTCCATAGAAAGTGTTCACTTATATGGCAGGGGGAAGACGACAGGTAAAGGCTACTGGGGGGTCGCCCACGAGGGTTAACCCAGATCAAGCCGAAATTCTTAGTAGAGGGTTCTACCCCTTACAGGTACTATGTATTATACATTACTTTCAAGTGTAATTTTTTTTTTTGAATAATATCTTTAGACACAGGCAATAACTAAAAGAATAATACAATTGAAATATTAGAAACTAAACTAAAATAACTTCATATTTTAATAACCTCCGGTGCAACTAACCCTAATTTTTTTGTCTAATGTTAATGCTCACTATTTATCGAAATTCCTGTTTAGTCCTAAAAGCATTGCAGTTTCATTTTCCCTTATGCCTCAACTTTATATCAATCTCAATAATCTATATATAAAACAATTATTTTGTGTTGGAAAGAGTATGACACATGCTTTACCACATTATTTTCTTATTCATCAAAATTTTGTGTTGTTAAATTTGAAAAAAAAGAAAAGAAAAGAAAGAAAAGTTTTTTCACTTACATTGTCATGTGTTTTTTATAATAAAATACAACATAAAAAATGACTTTTATTTTTTGTGATTGAAATCATTTTAAATTTTACTTTAAAATTTGACGACTAATATTAACTCCTCAAATTTAATAGAAAAAATAGGTTCTCAGTGTTTTTTTAAAGTGATTTTTCAAAAGTGCTTCTAAAATTTCTAACTTCTCATAAGTATTTTTTTTTTTAAAAGTAGTATTTTGTATAACTTATTTTTATTACTTTCAAATAAGTTAAAAGTAATTTTATCACTTAAATAAATAAAAGTAAAAAAAAAATAACTTATATTTCTTTAAAATCATTTTTCTACAAAACAATTCACCATCACCACCATCACTGCCATACCCCCACCACTACCGCCCACTATCGCCCCACCACCACTCCCACTACCATCACCACTATCATCACTACTGCCACCCCACTGCCACCTCTGCCACAATAACCACCACCACTATCGATTACTATCATCGCCGCCACCCACCATCATTATCTTATTTTTATATTTATTGTCACTACTACCATCATTCCACCACCACCGTTGCCCATCGCCACTATCCACCACCCCTATCGTTGCCCACCACCACCTTTGTCGTCTACCACCATCACCACCCACTATCATTGAGCCTCCACACCACACCACACCTATCACCACCACCATAATCGCCCACCACCGTCGCCCATAAGCACCACTCATACCCACCACAATCCATCATCGCTGTCATCGCCCCACTATCACCACTGTCAACCACTATCATTGTCACCCAAACCTACCACCAACACCATTGTCACCCATGGATGCCACTACCACCATCGTTACCCCAAACTCACCACCACCATCACCGTTGTCACCCACGGCTGCCATAACCATCACGGTCGTCACTACCCATCACCGTCTCCCACCACCTTTATTGTCACCCTCCACCACTACCACTGCTCACTCCACTACAATTGATGCTTAGATTTATTTCTCTCTCCTATATGTTTGTAATT